GCTGATCGCTAAGCAGGGTGGGTGCCCCGTGCACTTGGTGGAAGACCTGAAAGTGGACCAGAAGTACTTCTCGTCCACTTCCAGGTCCACTGCCAAGCATGCGGAGGGCCTCTGCACTCCTGGGGGATGCTCCATCTGCCCTAACATCTCAGCATTCATGAGCCATGCCTGGTACCTCAGTGTATGTAGAAAAAACATATAAAGCTGTGTTTATGGCCAAATCGCTGATTCTCCAAATCAGAATCAGACCTTCAGATTTGGATTCAGCCGAATCGAATTGGGACAGTGATCTGAATCAGTGAATGGAATCGCTGGCTTCCAAATCGGGCAAAATCTGAATTGAATACAGCCCACTTCACACATCCCTTCTGCCAACATATGTAGTGGTTCAAAGGCAAATCCTAACACGCATGCATGGTGCACACACTGCAACCTTTAAAAATAAAGGCTAGATAAAGGAACATAACCTAGCTCTATTTTATTTCCTGTGCTTGAAGTGGAATCATTTGGGAAAAGAAAAGTCCAAACAGTGCTTTCTGTGTATAGGCCATTTCCATTATGTTTTTGTGACCTTTTGTTAGGACCTACCTTCTTATGATGTGGATGAAGAGTTGATTGAGAATGGCCAGTATGAAGAAATCCTAAAGAAAACTTGTCCTCCACAATACAGCACCATCAAAGAGGAAGAGGTAATATTTCACTTATTTCCTAATTTATAGATAGCTAATCTTATTTGAGAAGGTTCCACAAAATAAAACAGGCTATTCTGAAGCTGTAATTTGATCCTTTGGTTTAGGGAAAAACATTTTCTTGTTAAAACCAAACCTGATGATTGTGAACAGTGAGAGCCCTGAAAATGGAAGCCCGCTAATTATTTATAGAATAGGTTCATCATGAGCAGAAGAACTGAAAGTGCTCTTTGTGCTTTTTTCATAAATGCTTCTCATCTGCAATCTGAAAGGACTACCTTTGGGCCTGAAAGGGCCATTTTATTTTCATACCTATTTAAACCTTGATACCTTGAGTGAGACCAACATCTGTACTAGTGATAAAGGGTCTGAGTTTTTTGTGGACATCTCCCCACTAGAAAATGGAGGGAGATCACCAGATCTTTCCAAAGTTGGTGAAAGTATGAATCTTTTAGAAATACCCAGAGGTGTCCAAACTTGTACATCATTGATTTTATTGCATTTTGACTAACATTCTTCTTACATTTTAAGAACCAGATGTATTAACTGTTATGTGGTTCCTTTTTACTATTCTTAACTAATAACATTATACAGTACCTGTGTTTTAATTTCCATCATCTCTGTTTCCTTTTGTGATATGTCTGTCTGTTTTTAGCTTGTTGTATGGGTTGACCCTTTGGACGGGACCAAAGAATACACTGAAGGTTGGCTTCTTTTTTGCTTATTTGTGCTGGTTTGAAAAATCCTTTCAACTTTATAAAAGTAAACATGAAAAGATCTAGACTGGCAATTGGCAACCTTTTCAGGTTATGCCACAGAATGACCCACCTCAGGTAAGAGGCGGGGGGTGGGTACTAGGACCCAGCCACTGCTTTTTCTCCCTAAGGTGGCAAAGGAGAAGTGACAGCTGCTGAAGCCACATAGCTGCAGGCCAGATCTGGTCCTCGGGCCATTGGTTGCTAACCCCTGACCTAGACTCTTCCACAATGGATCCTTCCCCTTTAAAAGCTTCATCCTTAAGATGTTTGCAAAAATTATATTAATTCAGTTGTTGTCATCTTTTTGCTGCACCTCTGTATGCTTCTGGATTCTTTGCAAACTGTCCTTTTTGCCAGGCATGGGGTGAGGAATACAACCCTCTGAGGTATTTTAATTCTGTTTCTGGTGTATTGTACAGTGATTATCTTTACACTTGTATTTTACTGTACACTAACTGAGGTTTATTGAGAGGCCTTTTACAAGTTAAATGTACAGGTCTTCAGAGAACTTAGTTCAGATTACTTAGTAATCTCACCTAAAAAAAAAAAATGAAGCATCCAAAATAGGTGCTTTTCAAAACAGGAGTGGTGGTTGATGTTTTCAAGTAATTAAACAAAGACAGAAGATTTGGGAGCTGAAATGGGAGGTTTGGGGTTTTGATGGGCCTTCTTTGATTGCTTTGTTTTTACAAGCATAATAGTATGTTTGGGGGGTTTTGTTTTTTTTATTTAGGTCTCCTTGACCATGTAACAGTTCTTATTGGAATCGCTTATGGAGGCAAAGCAATAGCAGGAATTATTAACCAGCCCTACTATAACTATGAGGTATTAAATATGTTGATTTGCTTTACTGCAGTAAATGATTTTTACCAGTCCCTTCATTGTCAAGTTTGCTTGCTTTCAGCTCACTGGTGCTTGTTCCATGGTACATATCCTATTTAGCTGAAGCCAGTTATGTAACAAGCACTGAGTTCATATATGGAGTTGTACCAAATGCAGTCCCAGATAACCCATTCTCTCCAAATTAAATGAAGAACAACCCTTGGGCAAATGCGTGTCAGTGGGGATTGAGAAGAAAACTATTAAAAGGGAGTAGCAGAGGTGAGAGGAAGTCATGGATACATTCTTGGAGCTAGTAAAGATTGAGTATAGTGAAGAAAGCTCAGAGTTGGTGCAATACACAAATGACTCTCTGGACACTTTTCAGGTCAAGAGTGCATCTGATGCAAAGTTTATAGAGAGATTTGCAAACGTTTATTCATTATCCCACTGGCCATGTGAGGTGGGTGTCAAATATGTGAATGTGTTGAATCTGCATGTGTGAATCTTAAGTTATTCTCTGTTGAATCTGCTAATGCCAATGCATGTATAGTTTTATTTTTTTTACAATATATTCTGTGCCTGCCAGTCTGGGAGCACTCTTTCCCACACTTTTGGCTTGAGTAATATATTTGTGAATGCCTTAGACAAGCATGACAGTGAGCAAGTAAGTATTACCCCCATTTTACAGATAAGGACACTAAAATCCAAATATATGGCTTAAATGACGTGCCTGAGGTTAGACTGCAAGTCATTAGCATAGTTGGGGTGAGAACCCAGGAATCCTGACTCCCTTAGCTGTGCTTTAATTACTGGAATGTACTGCTTTTCCAGTACTACAACTTATGCTTGTAACTAACTCCTGGGAAGAGGTCAGATTGGATTCTCTAAAATTTAAAAATGAGCATTGCATGCTGCAGTAACAATTATCTGAGATTATAAACTTTCTGTGTAGGCAGGAGCTGATGCTGTGCTGGGCAGGACAATCTGGGGAGTCCTGGGTTTAGGTGCCTTTGGATTCCAGCTGAAAGAAGTGCCTGATGGGAAGCACATCATCATCACTACCCGCTCACACAGTAGCAAAATGGTGAATGACTGCATTGGTGCGATGAACCCAGACACTGTAGTCAGAGTTGGAGGTGCAGGAAATAAGGTATGGAACATGACTTTGCCTGTCATATATATCATCATACCTTCGATACCTTCGGGAAGAGAACAACCTATTTAGGGATAATCCTGCCCTTATGTCCACAGAGTGAAAGGACCCTCTGGAATGAATTTATTGCACAAGGAGGGAGAAGCAGGATTGTGTGTGTGTGTGTGTAAAGCAGTGATTCTCAACTAGGGTGATGTGAGATCCTTTTAAGGGTGACAGGATGCCACTATATATAAGCACTGTTAAATGTGCAAGCACCTACACATGATTCACAAGATAAATCTAGCGATTTCAAATAAGAATCCATAGTGTCAAAAACAGGATGAACTTGATTTAAACCCATCAATTTAAATCATTGTTTAAATCACTGTTCAGGAAGCCTCAGTTTAATCAATGTTTTCTACAAAAAGTGAATGTTTTTTGTTTGATAGAACCTTCTTTAAAATGAGACCCCAAACAGGGTCTCTTTTATGGCCTGACAAGGTTTTCCCTTCTATCATACCATTCCCTCACTAGATCTCAAAATCAGTGGAGAGGCTGTACTCAGAAACTTATCACTCAGACTTCTGGAATATTCTGCTCAAAATGTTTCTCTTTTGTTTCTACTGCCAGTCCCTCCTTGTATGCATCTTCCAGACTCTTCCTCCTTGCCCAGATCTACTCCACCTCCAACAATCCTCTCTTCACTTAATTTCTTGAAACTTTGCACTTTTAGAGAGCAGCAAGGGCTTGAGTTTATGTACACAAGCTTGCAGAGAGACAGTAGCACTGAGTAGGTAATCAGGTCTGTTATCTCTCATCTCTCTATATTGCTGTTAACAGGGTTGTTATCTCTGGAGACACAAATCCACAATTTGAGAACTGAAACTAAGCAACACAGAGATGCTTAATGGGATCTTCTAGACTGAGCACTGAGTCCCATTGGGTTGAGTGGTTTTCTTTATTCTTTTCTAATCTATAGAGGAGCCTCTGAGGAACCCCATAAGACTGAACTCCTAATATAGTCCATGGCCTGTTGTGACCTATTTATAAAACTTTTCTAAAAAAGTTACATGAGTATATTGTCTCAAATAGTACATAATGATACATTATAATCCTTTTTCCATTGTGGTATCTTTAAGCTCTAACATTTCTTAAATGAAAAATACCTTTAAATCAGTTTATTTTTTTAAAGCATCTTAAAAACATCAAAAATACGGTTAAATAAAAAGAAATCTGATTTTAATAAAAATATACTTTTTCTTTTCTTTTTTTTTTTTTTTTAATTATTGATTTTTATCCAACCGGGTCAAAAACATGCTGACCTGTTGTGGTCTGAGTTCTTTGTGATTAAAAGAATTGTTATGTTATTTTTTCCATAGTCAAAAAATGAGTGACCACTAAGAACTGGCATTTTCTGAGGGGTGCCCTGAGTCTAAAAATGTTGAGAACCACTGGTGTAGGGCATGCTTAATCCTGCTGCCTAGTGTGGAATCTGGTTCTGTAGGAATTCCCTGCAGCAGAGCATACAGGGGGTTTCTTGGGGAGAAGGAGAAGAGGATATCTGTGACAGCCTAGGGTCTCTAGCCCTTTTTCCTCAGCCTATGGCAATGTGTGTAATGGGCCTGTAAAAGCTACTTGAGGACAGTTCACTTTCCCAGGCAGATTGTCCTTAGCACTTAACCAAGGGATGCCAAAGACTGGATTTGCCTTTTGTAGATTATGCTTGAGACAATGCAGATGGATCATTTTGGATACTGTCAGTTACGTATTTCTAGGCTTCTTAAATGTGTAACAATCCTAACTTAAACCTGCACTCCGCTTTGAGGACATCTCTTGTCTGTAACCAAACTGGCTTAGTCTTTCTCCTAGTTTACACAACACCCATTCTGTCTTTTGCATGCCTGGATTGTATTAAATGACCTGTGCTCTTTCTTTGTAATAGGTCATACACCTTATAGAAGGCAAAGCATCTGCTTATGTGTTTGCTAGTCCTGGGTGCAAGAAGTGGGATACCTGTGCTCCTGAGGCAATTTTGCATGCAGTGGGAGGTGAGTTAATAATAGCACTCAGAAACCTTTTTGAAGGGAGTTGATGTTACTGCAGGTTTTCAAATGTGGGTTGTTTTCAGAGGATCAGTACAAATTTTAGAATATGTATTCTTGGCTTGAGTGCATTTTAGATCACCTTTTGTACACCCAATGTTCTGACCTGACCCCTTTACAATCAATGGAGAAACTTACTGACTTCAGTGGGCACATTAATTCAGCTCCCAAATTAGCCTATTAGATAACATCATGTAAATCTACCTTTTCAGGTTGTCTTCAAAAGGCAGTAGAGTTACTATTTTTAAGTAATGCAGAAAGCACTTAAAAAAACAAAACAAAACTACTTTCTGACCATCACCTTAAATCTTTTTTGGTCGTTTATTGCTTTATTCTACAATGAAGCCTTTTCCCAAATAAAATAATTTATTATGTGTACGTGCCCAGAATATTGCTTATGGGCACTTGATTCTTCAGAAGCAAGACAAACAGTGAGCCAAACTTTTTGTAGTCCTTTCCCAGGTCTGCAGGATTTGACTCCAAATTTTGAGTCCATCCAGGGGATAACCCAGTAGAATTGCTATCTTCTGACTAGCACAAATGCACACTACCATGGTAGGAAAATAAATTATGAAAAGGCCTATTTTGAAAAATATGAATTATATTTAGTTCAGTGTTACATTACCTTCCATACTGTCCACCGTAATGTGTAAAAGTTGTACACATCTCATATTTAACATTGTGTCAAAGTGTTGAGGTGATATTGCTGTGGTGGTCTGGGAGATATGAGGGGCAAGAATTCTTGTGGGTGATGTCTTTTATTGGACCAAACATGCAGTTGGTGTAGACCAGTAATTCTCCACCAGGACGATACGGCAACCTGCAGTGCCTTGAGATGCTTTCAGGAATACCACAAAATATTAGTACTTGTGGCAGGGCACCTTTGGTGCCTGCCACTTTAAGGGCTTGAGTGGGCTGTAGACCAGCTTGCAGGTGGGAGCAGACCCAATCAGGCAGTCGCATGGTACCCAGGAGGCTTCCTGATTCGTATAGGGCTGTGCAGCCAGGGTATAAGACCAGACCCAAGGAGCAAGGCTGCCAGTTGCAACTGGGGAGCCAAAGGGTGAACATTTTCTGGCTGACATACTGCTGCTCCCAGAACACCTGAAGGTCAGGGTAGGAACTAGGGGGATGGAGGAGGTTCCTAGTCCTAGGTAAGACCTGAAATTGCTCCTGCTGGGGTTGGATGGTTTGGTGGGGCTACCTGTGGCGGGGCAGTCTCCAGGAAATGCCACATCTGTGCCTACCCAGTAAAAAGTGAGGATGGGGCACCAGAAAGCCTTGACCCCCACTGCCTTCTGGGTGACCCCATGGAGGGGAAAGGCTAGGGGAGCACACCCCAACAGAAAAGCACAGAGCCAAGGCCTACTGAGGCAGGGTCCAGGTCCATTGAGTGGGATCTGCAACAGGGACAAGGTCTACCTAGAGGGACTGGAGGCCCTAGGGGTATAAGGCCCAGAAGCCCCAGTGAGGGGACAAAGTAGTGGCCCCAGTGAGGGGGCAAAGTGGCTGCTGGAGGCCACATAGAGTAGAGTCTGAGGAGGCCTGAAGGACTTACACGTAGGCCAGCCAAAGCAGGGGCCCCAGTGAGGGGGCACGTGGCCCAGGCACGTCTAAGGACACCTGAGACCAAGTTTGGGCCAGAGACCGAGTGCAGGCCAGCAATGGGGCCAAGGGAGTTGGAGGTAACTTCTGGATGCCAACTGTGAGATATGGGACATGGTAAAGGGAAGGTCAGAGCAGTGTATTTCACCCTTGGTATCAGGGCATTAAATGGGCAACCTCCTGCCTACAAACAACTGTTTAAATACAACAAAGGCATGGCAGGCGAGTCAGGGGGAAGACTGCTCTAGACAGGTGGGCGGGCCAATGTAGTGACTGGCCCCGAGGTGACCACAGTACTTGTGCAAACATGATTCACAAGATAAACCCAGGTTTCAAATAGGAATCCATAACATTAAATACTTTCTGACTTGTTTTGAACTTTCTGAGTTCTTTGCAACAGAAGAATTGGTTTAGTATTTTTCTGTAGTCTAAAAAAAAAAAAGAGCGAAAACTAAGTGCTAGCATTTTCCAAGGAGTGGCTTGGGGCTATCAAGGATTGCTTTGAGTCTAAAAAAGCTGAGAAGTACTGGTATAGATGTAGGCAAGATTTTAGGTATGATGGTATTCTTCCACATACCTCAGGGCTGAGGAAGGGTATTATGAGACCCAAAAGCTTGCCTGTGTCTATACCAATCACACAGTTGTGGGCAATTTTCTTTTATTGAACCAAGAATTCTTGCCCCTCTAATGTGCATAGGTTTCCTTGAGCAACTAAGATGAAGTATGGTGTTAGCCTGATGTGTATTGTCAATATGCTACTGTGATAGCATATTGGGCTTGATGTGGTGGGTCTTCTGCATATCTAGAAACAAAAAATGAATCCTATTGGTTTCGTCCCTGATTATTACCAGCGTACTAAGCCCATGCTAACCAGGGACTTATTTTACCAAGAGAGAGTCATTAGCTGCTTTTACTATCAACAAAATACTAGCTGCAGTGTTTAAAAGAACTGGGATTAATAATGCATTCCCATCTTTCTTGCAGGCAAGCTGACTGATATCCATGGAAATTCCTTGCATTATAACAAGGAGGTGAAACACATGAATTCAGCAGGGGTACTTGCTACCTTGAGAAACTTTGACTATTATGCTAGTCGTGTTCCTGACAGTGTCAAACAAGCCCTTGTGCCTTAAGGCAGAAAAGTATCTTTCATTTGGCTGTTTGGGGAAAAACGGATTAATGAGACTGAAAAATTGTTTTATGAAATCTGAGGCTAGATTAATTCAGATACTTTGATCAGTAATTTGTTGTAGAAATTAGTGCACAGAATACATGGATATCTTGCAAAATTAGATTGTTCAGTGGCATGTTCACAAGACAAAGTAATAGCAATGCTGGTTTTTCAATATGGACTGTAGTTGTTTTCCCTATTCTTTGTAAGCAAGGTATCTAAGAAAATCTGTATTTGTGGGACTAAATTTATTGCAGTTATACTGTACTGCATAATGTCATAATTCAAATCTATTTTCTTAATTTAAGATACAAACCTGTAACCAAATCTAAGTTAACCTGAGTTTGCTCAACAACTTTTTGTTGTATGTAGGCAGCAGTACTTAATTCAGTTTATGTATGGGTAATAAATTATTTGTTTTGGTTGATCAAATTCTTTATAATAAATTTACTGTTACTGATTCTTAAATGTGACCCTTTCCCTTTTGTAATCAGAGATTTGTGATGGTGTCGGTTTTGTAAAGTTACCGAATCATATTGATGTATATTTTTGCTACTTGTTTTATCACTGTCTGGGTTTTGTGAAGGTTTTGTAGATAATATGGTTTGTATGATAGGTAGACTGTATTGAAGCAGTTTCTTTGTACAGGAGTTTCCTCCTTATGAATATAGGAAAGTAGGGCTGGAAGGGACATCACAAAGTCATCTTGTCCAGCCCCTTGCTCAAGGCAGAAGCAGTCTTGACTAAGCCATTCCAGGCAAGTGTGCCTAACTTGGTCTTGAAAACTTCCAAGGACAGAGATTCCACAATTTTTCTAGGTAGCCTGTTCCATTGCTTGGCCACCCCCATAATTTTCCTCCTAATTTCCAACCTAAATTTCCTTTGCTGAAGCTTGAGTCTGTTCCTCATAGTCCTGTCCCCTGTGGGCACAGAAAAAGCCCATCTCCTTCCTCCCTATAACTGTCCTTTAAGTATTTGAGTATTGTTACCAAATCCCCCTCAGTCTTCTCTTCTCCAGACTAAATAAACCCTGTCTCTTTCAGTCTTTACTCATAAGTCTGGGCTCTCAGACCTCTCAACATTTTTGCTGCTCTGTGCTAGATTCTTTCCAGACTGTTGAAGTGTGGGGCTTAAGACTACATACAGTATTCCATGTGAGACTTCACCAGGGCTAAATAAAGTAAAAGAATCGCTTCCCTTTTTTTGCAAGTGATGCTTCTGTAAATACAACCTAGTATCCTGCTGGGGTTGTTTTGCAACAAGAGCATACTATTGGCTTGTATTCCCCTTATAGTCTCTTGTAACCACTAGATCTAGTCATTTCCTAGTCTGCATTTATACATGCGATTATTCTGTCCCAGGTACAGGACTCTACAGGTTCTAGCCCTACCCTCCAGAGTGTCTGCAACGCCACCCAATTAGGGGTCATTTGCAAATTTGCTAAGTGTGCACTCAATCCCATCATCCAAATCGTTAATGAAGGTAGTAAAGAATTCTGGACCCAGGACAGACCCCTGGGGAACCGTTGGTACTTGATACCTCCCGGAACCCAGGTAAATGATACCTCCTTCCAACTAGACATTGCACCATTGATGTCTACTTGATGAGCACAATGATCAAATTAATTGTGTCCACCTTCATGGTTGGATCATATACAGTACTATATTGTTCATATATATTTACAATGAAATAAATACGATTTTGCAGTTCATTAGTATACCTATGCATTCCCAGCCACCTCTTCAGGATTTTTTTTTTCATGTTGCAATATTTTATTTTACTTGCCAAATTTTTAAAAAATCTCGTGTATGTAAGGGCTTCTATTCATTATATAAAGAACTATCTTTATATAGTAGTATAGGTACTACCTTTTAGCTAGTTCTTAAAATACCTACTCTAGATAGAGATTTCAGTTTGGTACATAAATTATATTGGATATGTCTACATTGTACGAAGAAGCTCAAGTTCTGGAAATAATATTGACATATCAGCATTGATCTCTAAGAACTATGTTACCTTGCTGGGAGTTAGGTGTATCTTGGGCATCTCAACACTACTTTGCACTGGATAGTGTAGACCAGAGGTAACCAGCTTGTGACATAAGGGTCATGGGCACCCTGTGTGCTTGGAACATGGGAGATTAGGGAGGGACAAGTGCCACAGTAGCAAATAGGGCATGGAACAGAAAGCAGAGCAGCAGATCAACCATGATCAACTTAAAAAGATTTCATGGTACTCCATGGTGCTACAGCACCCTACTGAAAATCTCAGTACCCACTGTCTTTTAATTGTCTCTTCAGTGCCAATCACACCAGCATAATAAGATTTTGAGGCTCTTCTGAACCTATTGCCACCACTTCTGCATAAGAAATATACCCCATTAGAAATGACAGAGGCATCTTTGTGAGACAATTTGTTAGCTAATTCCCAACCTCCTTCCACTGATCAAGACACTTTCCTGTACTGGGATGCCTGCTAAGTTGCAGCTATATAACAGTGTTAAAGGTCCTTGACAATTAAAACAGAAGGATGCTACTGTATTTACTCAATTCTAAGATGAGGTTCCCCCCCCCCATTTAACATGGGGGGGGGGAAGCCCCTCATCTTAAGGCCTGCCTGCTTCCACCCCCTCCCCGCTGTCTCTGCAACCCACGGTCTTCCCCCGCTCTACCCAAACATAGCCTCTGCTGTCTTGCCTGCCCCTCTCCTGCCCTCACTTACCACTGCTATACTCCAAGAAGCTTCATCTACACTGCAACCTGGGGCACTGAGAACAGCCACAGCCTGGCCCTGTAGCAGTGGTAGCTGAAGGTGTACAGGGGGATGGGAAGTTGGGAGCAGAAGCTGGGGGTGGGGGATAGGAGGAACTAAGGCTGTAGGAGGAAGGCAGTAGGGGAAGCTGAGGAAAAGGGGCAAAGGGGGGGATAGAGACTGCCTGACTTCCCATACTACATGCCCTCCACTGCCTGCTCCCCTGCAGTGGTGTGGGGTATGAATTAAAGATCACCCTCCCATAATTAGATTCTATACATGGAAAATTAGAGCAAATGTGTAAATTCCCCATGTATAGAATTAATTATTGGGGGGGTCATCTTAGATTCAAGTAAATATAGTATAAAACATAATCTTGAGGCTGGAAGAATTTTCATGGTTAAATACTATAGGGATTAAAATGAGTATTATAAACATTTGTGCACTGAGAGGATGGTTCCTTCTATGAAAAACCTTAACACAAGGAAAAGTATTTTAAACAGTTTTGCAGCAGAAACAGATCATTTAGATACAGGTGATGAAATGAGGCACACAGGTATTTCTCTATGAAGTGACTGGACAAGAATAAAATGGGATGCAATGATACCAGCACTTAGCTTTAACATAGTTCCTTCCATCAGTACCTTCATAATATTTACTATGGAGGGTAAGTATTATGATTTCCAGTGTATAGATGAAGAAATGTAGATAAAAATAGGGAAACAAAAGGTAAAGTGGGCCCTTCTGAAGAGCTAAGGTACGTTCAGAGGAATCCCATGTATATAATGTGGCATTTCCTGTGGAACTCATTGCCACAAGAAAATGTTGAGCCCACAGAATTCCAAAAAGGATTAGATACGTATGACCTGCACGCGTAAAAGACAGCACAAATCCATTGAAGCCTCAGCCTATTATGTTGATGATTTACAGCGTGTCAAGTTAAGTGCAAGAGGAAATCAGGTGAAAAATCAGAAGAACCAGTCTACTGAAACAAGAGATAAAGTCAAGCTCAGAGTTGCCAAGTCTATACAAGGTATTCTTTGAGGTGTTTGGGCCCCTGCAGACAAAATGTCTCCAGCTACTGATGTTTTTCTATGTGGATCCTTTCATCAACACTGGCTAGGAAGGCTACAGCAGAGCCTTTTGGTGATGCTGAACAGAACCTGTGCAGAAGTTAGTATTACAATGTTTTGAAAGACTTTCCACAGGTGACTTTCTGGAAGCTGATGTGGTCATATTTATTGGGAAGTTAATAATCCTGACAATGCCAAATCAAAGGGTCTGGTTTTAGGCTCTTACCAAAATTCTTAATGGATGTGTGATATATTCTGCAGTTGCAAGGGAGGGGATTGTAGCAGGGCCCTGGGATGTGCCTGCTCCTTGAAGAGCACAAGCAGTTTGAAGGACTGCTTGCAGATGGCAAAGGGGAGCTAATGAGGGGCTCACCTGACTGGAAGAGGGCTCAGGCTGGAGCTATACAAGACCAGAATCTGCACCAGTCAGGAAGTACCTCCCTAGCAACTAAGAAGTGAGTAGCTCCTGGCTGTAGGGCTCCTGAAGGGACCTGGAGTTTGGGCTAAACAACTCTGCAGGCCTGGGAACAGAGGCAAGTTCCTTGGACTGTGGAAGACTGGGTTTATGGGCAAGTGGCCTTTGTTTATGGTAAACCACTAGAGGGCATGAGATGTCTGCCAGAGGGCAGTGATATTGCTTAATCACTTGAGTTAGACCCATAGTTTAGCCCTGAGCCCTGCTGGGGCAGGCTAAGACCTATTTAGAGAACCGGTAACCCAGGAGCCCTCAGACTGAGTGTAGGGCCCAGTGAAGAGCCCAGGAGACTAGAAAAAGCTGGGACCCAAACCAGAAGGTCCAAGAGCCTGGGGAAAGGAGCTGGGCTAGAGGGTCCATGAGCCCAGAACAGGCCAAGCCAGACTAGAGGGCCCGAGAGCCTGGAGAGGGGCCTGTGTGTGGGACCAGGGTCCCAAGAGCCCAGAGGGGAGCTTTGTGTGGGACCAAGGGGGCCAAGTGTATAAATAGTTACATCAATGAGAGGGAATATCCGCGAGGCTTGGGGTCCAGTATAGGGGAGGTGTAGGAACTGCACAAACTACCCTTAAGGCTCTTGGTACCCTACAAGGCCCTAGTCAGGCTGAGATGGACTTGCCAAGCCTGAGGGTTGGATCGAGACTAGTGGGGTCTCAGGAGAGGCCCAGTGTGAACTTATTGGGATTAGGGCTCTAAGGCCTGTTGGCAGCATCCCTGAGTCCACCTATATTTAAGAACAAGGCATGGCAGAGCGAGTAATTTAAGGAGGGTGGCATTAGAATATGAGCCAGGCAGGAGCAGTAAGGCCACTAGGGGGTGTCACAGCTGCCCCTGTAGCCACAAGCCTGTCCCCACAAGGGATGTAAAACAGATTTATTCTTTAAGTACACTTGCAATGAGCATCTAGGAGTAACTAGTACTGAAACAGTGGGAAGCAACATTTTTTAATGCATTGTCTGCCTTCATACAGGGAAGTGCAATTGAACTTCTCTGGCAACTGCTATTTGAGGACCTTTGAACATTAAATGTAACGTAAACACTTTCTGAAGCTGGTATACAATATTATCCCCCTTTGACAGATATGAAAATGAAGGCCAGGGTTTGAATTACACTTCAACTCCTGGGAGGTCTGCAAAAAAATTGGCCGGGGTTGGGGCTGTGCTTATGGGTCCCTGCCAGTACTGCAGGGCTGGGGCCAGCGGTGGCGGCAGCTAGGAGCTGCTACCACCTGGGCTACTTAGAAAGGCACATGGGCTGTATGCAGTGGCACATGAGCTCCAGGCTCTTATGGGGTGGGGGGAAAGGGGTGCTGACTGGCCCACAGGGGGGGCTTTCATCTCTTATGGGGGGACTCAGCCCTCCCAAACTTCTCTGTAATATGAACGCTGATGAAGGCATTAGGGCAGAGATTGTTTCACAAGTTCTCTAACAAACCCTACAGTCTCATAAACCCTATAACACAATTTATAAAATAGATGAAAAGAGAAAAATGATAGGAAGTCTAATATGTGACAGGTATTTGTAATGACTATAATTCACCTTGTTTCTGTTGAAATTTGTCCAGTGGAATAGTATCAGATCATAAACTTGCCATGTTTTAATATCGTAATATTGCTTGCATATTTGCGTAGCAATAGAAGCCAAATAAACTGTCAGAAAACATGTTCACCTGGGTGGCCATTGAGCTCTCAGGACAAGTCCTTCATGAAAGAGACTAGCTGCCTTGGCCCCATATTTTCCCCTAAAAAGAAGCAATACTGAACAATGTCCAACCCGAACCCAGTAGCATTGTTGCGGTGCTCAACAAAGGAGTAAGATGTCAGTTCTGTTAAAGGTGAGGGGGAAGGACAACACAGTTTTGTGTATGATGCACTTACTCAGAACCTGTTCTTTAAACACCATGGCCACTTGGCACATCACACTGGCAGCAGAGAGGGAACTCAAACTCTTGTTCCAAGAGCAACCCTTCCCTCAACAGACATATAAGCAAAAAAAAAAAAAAAAAAAAAGAGGCTGCCAGGAAGGCCGTGCAAAATAGCACCATTCCGCTTTGACTTCCGTTGTGACGGAACAGTGTTTCATTTCAAGTTTCATTTAATTTCAGAAGCACTGTTCCATTTTGTTTCATCAAAACTGTTTTGCTGTTTCAACACTGTTTCAACGTTTTGCCCATTGGCTATAATGGGGGAGCACGAAACTGCCTATAACTTGGTCATTTTTTGCCTGATTTGTCTGAAACTTGCAGGGATCGTAGCCCCTTCTGAGGGCATGAAACCTGCCAAGTTCCAAGGAGATCGATGCAGAGGTTTCTGGGAAACTGCACCTCAAGGTGTTGACAAGCAAAACTGTCACTTGCCGGCAGCGACAGCCTCCCATCATCCAGATCTAGGGGCCTGCACTTGCAGAAGGGCTGCGGGGCTGTGCTGGACTGCTCCCCGGTGGTGCAGGCCCCCAATCTGCCTGCTGGATCACAGGAGGCTGCTCCTGCCACCTGGGGCCCACACCAGTCTTCCCAGCACTGGGTGCGGGCTGTGCCCAGCACCAATCCCAGGTGGCAGAAGCAGCCTCCTGTGATCCAGCAGGTAGATTGGGGGGCTGCACCCTTGGGAGGAGTCTGGCAGAGCTCCCGCAGCCAACACCCAACACCAGAAAGATTGGTGCTGCCGCTGGCCTCAGGCGGCAGGAACAGCCTCCTGGGGCCTCCTGGGTTGGGGGATGTGCCAGAATGCTCCTTTGGGGAACAGCCCCCAGATCTGCACTGGATGACAGGAGGTTGCTGCTGCCAGCTGGGACCAGTGCTGAAGCCAAGTAAGCCTAGCTTTGAAATGCAAAATGTTTCAAAACTTTCAAAACATTTTGAGTGCCCTTGTTTCGTTTTGAAGCTGACATTTGTTTTGTTTTGATTCCACTGTTTTGAGCTTGAAACCCATCAAAACAGCTTTGAAATGAAACACCCAGCAAAATTTTGCACAGCCCTAGCTGCCAGTGTTTAAGGTGCCTCTCTGTGGTCAGGTTTGGTATGACCAACCCTTCTATATCATTTGGGGCAGGGTGCTGAGTTCCTTTAAGGTTTGCCTCGCTGGGCTGCACAATATTAACTGTTACATGTGAAAACACTACCCACACATGACTCACAAGATAAACCCAGAGATTTTACATAGGAATCCATAGCATCAAAAATTCCCTGACCTTTTGTGGTCTCTGAAAAAGTGCTATTTTTTCCATAGTCAAGACTAAGTGAAACCTAGGGGCTGGCTTTTCCTGAGGGGGCATCTTCAGTCCAAAAGGTTGAGCTCCACTGATTTAGGGGTTCAACACTTTCAAGGTAACAGAAACTTCTGACCCCTGGCCCCTACCTCAGAAGTCCAGAATTGGTCCTCTTCACAGCCTGGGCTCACAAGTCTTTCATCACTTTCTCATGGTTATCTTTCCCTTTCTGAAGGGAAAGTTTGGAAACTGAGGCTGATGCTTCTTCTCTAGGTTTCAGGCCAAGGTGCCTGTGTTAAACAGTAAATGATTGGTCTTTTTCTTCCTCACTGCTTCCTACTTTTCTTTTCATGGTTTAGTAGGGCTCCTCTTAGAAGCTTCTCCACCTTCTGCCTGAGCTGTGTAGTCTTTTACAGCAGCTGTCTTTACCTGGCTGCTAGGTTGCAGCTTGAGGAGGTGATTAGGATCTTCATTAGCAGTGTCCAGGACACTGCCATATTGGCTATTTATCACAAGGATCTTTGTGAGTAAAATCTTTGGGGAAAACCACAGCATGTAGGCAAGGACCTAAGGGATGTCTCTGGAGGAGGCTGGATGGGAGTGTATACTCTACCTAGAAACGGTCACAGGAAAAAGATGCAAGGTAAGACGTGCAATAAATCTTTCCACCCAGAGGGATGCTCTGTGAGGCCTGGTAAGGCAGGTCACCTTTGCTCTGAGAGCCTGGACCAAGTGGGGAAGGGTCTCAGATTTTACAGCTTAAGAAGATTAAGGTCAACTTGGGAGATTCTGCTGTGGCTTTAAGAGTGAATTGTTCACACAGCTAGGGGAGGCACCTTACCTGTACTGAAACAAAATCACCACTATATCTAAAGTATGGAGAAAAACCTGTTCAGGTTAAATCCTTGTTGTTTCTGATTTCAACATACAAAACTAAATAATTAAGAATTCTACATTTTAAGAGATGCATTTAAATTCCTTGGGTGCAATTTTCCCCCCACTTCATTTTTATATCACTGTAACTCTACTGGAGTTACTCCAGTCCTGCTTTTGATTGTTCCTAAAGCTGCTTGTGCTTAAGTTCAGCATATTTTCTGGCTGCAGTCAGCTGCTAGCAGGAACATCCTGACATGGAGATATAAGTAGATTGATGTTTTGGCTGTATACAAGTTTCACAAGGATCAGGACTTTCAGGAGTCTCATACAAGAGTCCCCTTTCCCTAGTGAATACAACTTGCTCTTACAGCATTAGAAGATCAGATATTTCCCCTCTATCACAAAACTGTCAAGCTATCCTTGCCTTTCAGAGATTAGGATTAATTAATATTGCATGCAGAGCCATCCCTAGGGGTGTGCAGGGCCCGGGGCATATCCGCCTGTGTGGAGCTGGTGGCGGGGGGGGGAAGCATGGAGCTGGCAGCCACAGTGGGACCTGTATAGCACTGTTCACGGGGCCCCGCAAAGCATGGGGCCTGGAGTGGTCGCCCTGATTCGTGCCCCGCTAAGGATGGCCCTGGTTGCATGCACGTACTTAACCCTCTCTCCACTTCCTTTCAGGTGACGAACAGATAGAATAGTGTGTGCGGAAGACATACTTAGTTTATGTCATCGTGTTCCAGCTCCTCAGACCAAACACAGACTGCTCAAACAAATATAACCTTGTTACTAACCATTTTACAATACAATCCTCAAGTTTCTTCTCATTTTTGGGTATGTACATCCTAGCATTTACATCCAAAATGCATCAACAAGATGCAGGGGAAAAAAACAACCATAAACTATACAAAATAGTATTTAACAATTAACTCCTTTTCACACAGATAAATGTACAGGTATTTTAAAGTCAACGTACATCTTGACCGCTTCATCTGGAACACATTATATGTTCAGCAGTTTTATACCTAAATCGTGGTCGGTAGATGCTATGTAGGTATCCACAAATGAACACTCTGACCCCCTGCAACAATTGCATGGGTCAGCTTCCATCCCATGAGCAATCACTTTCTATTTATGGCTACTGCAGTCATTGCTTTTATGCAGAACATTAAGAAACTATTAAATACAAATTAGCTGTTTGAAACAAGGAGTGTGTGTGACTAGTCAGCTTTAGGCAGTAGTGAACCAGTTTGAGTTGCTGTACTAGGGAAGTGGGTCTTATAGTCATAATGGTAAGGGAGAGGAAGGTACACTGACACTGCGTTGTCCTTGGCTTGCAACAATGTGAACTTGAGCCTGTCCCCAGTAAAAATTGCTAACTCTATTTTGTAACTATCACAAGCAGTAGTGAGGTGCACTGCAAAAAATGTCCATATATGTATATCTATCTCTGTGAACCGTACAGCACAGTCCAATACCAGAAGCATTAAAGTTAACCTATTATATGTAAATACCAACTGCATTTTATTTCTATTGGTTAGCTCGCTTCACTGCAGACCTATTGCGCAAAGCAAAAAGTCTCCTTTTTCAAAGACGCCATGTGGCAGCACAGCAAACAGACTCAATGACTGACGTTGCTGAGGTCATGAGCTTTCCTGGTTGAACCTACTAGTAAATAGCAGTGTGAACCACCACAAGTGAGCTCTTAAATTATACATCTATGCGTATACATTGTACACCCCCCATACACATATATGTATCATCTATACATGCACATTGCACACAAACACCCACATTATTACATGCACATTTTTCATATAGATATCTACGTATATGATATGCCTGTGTAGTAACCCAGATGTTTGTGTGTGTATGTCTATATGACACGTATGTATGTGTATCGTATGTATAGTGTGTATGTATATAAATGGTGTGTGTGTGCTACATCCGTGCGTGTGTATATACACGATACATGGGTACTTGTGTTGTGTGTACACATATATACACACATACATACACATCCACACCATACACATATATATGCATCAGAGATATATGTACATACACAGGTGTGCAGAAGTATCTCACATCACCCCCGGCTCCGCCCCATACTGGTAGGGGCGGGGGGCTAACGCAGGGCCGCCGCCTCCCCACGCGGGGCAGGGGGCACCCCCTCGCAGTCTAAGCCTGAGAACCGGGGCGCGTCAGCGGGGCACAAAAACATTATAGCTGCTCCAGCCGGAACGTCCTTGGACTCCGCACGAGCCTGTCAGCAAAGCCGGCTCCCGGCTTCGCGTTGCATCGGGGGGGGGGGAACATTCCGGTCTCAGGGGGGGAACAGAAAGCTCATACCCTCCCCC